GAGTGATGCTGGCTTTGTGGAAGGAATTTGAAAGTTCTCCCTCTATTTCTATCTTTTTGAATAAATTAAGTACTATTGGATGTAGATCTTCTTTAAATGTTTGGTAAAATTCTGCCATAAATCCATCTGGTCCTGGGCTTTTTTAGTCGGGAGGTTTTGTATTACTGTTTCAATTTCTTTTTGTGTTATGGGTCAGTTTAAGTTATTATTCTCTTCTTGGTTTAGTTTTGGTGGTTCCCATGCCTTTAGATAGCTGGACATTTCTTTTAGGTTTTCAAATTTAGTAGCATATAGGTTTTTAAAGTATTCCCTTATAATGTTCTATATTTTTCTGGTTTCTGTTGGGATGGTTCCCCTTTCATCTCTGATTTTGTTGATTTGGAGGTGCTCTTTCTTTCTTTTGTTTAACTGGATCCTAGAAGCAAACCCTGGTAAGTGAGTATGTATCCATACATAATTGCAGGAAACAGGGAGTTAAAGGAAAAGAAAGAACCTGAAAAAGAAGAACAATAAGAAACAGGCCTTAATAAGGGAGATATGGATAAAAATCGGGTTAGTTTAAGGGAGGGGGAGGGAAGGGTATACAAGGAACCTAGGGGATAAAGGGAAAGAAGGAGCTCAAGAGAGATGGGACCATAGGAGAAGGGTATTATTAAGGGAGAAAGGGGGGAAATGGGGGCACCTTAACTGGGAAAACCATGATGGAGGGGTGAGACAATGTGAGAAATAAATAATCCCTAGCTAGTTTTGAGAACCAGAGGGAACCATATTATTCCTACAACCTACTGACAAATTATATATAGCAGATCAAGAAATATATGTCTAGGTAAGGTTTATCTGAGAACAATTGGTTTTTGCCCAAGATTTATCTACATGAAACACAGTAATTAAAAGTACCAGACTGGTGGAACTAACCTTCTTGGATGTTTAACAGATATACTTTGAAGCCTATACTAATTTGGTCAGAGGGACATAAAGGACAGTTTTTGCTCCTTGCCCTCCTTGGTCACCTAGTTCCAGGCAACTATGAGCATCTCTCAAAATGACCTGTAATTGTGTTGGGTCACCTGTCCTCTTGATCAAGGAGGCCGAGACTCCATGAGATGGACTTGATCCAGTGTCCAGTCTACAAAGAGGAGGATCAACAAGAGGAATCATTTCCTCCATCCTTCCAAGCGAAGCCAACTATGGTCGAGCAGGACCTTTGACTAATATTCACATAGGTAGAACTGGTAAAGGGAAGGAGCCAGGGGCTCCTCCCAAGCCCCTGTGACCCCTGAGGAACAGATCCTCAAATAACCTTAAGAGTAAAAATAAATTGGTTTATCTGGGCCAACTGTATGGCCTTAAACACCCAAAATGAAAATATAAACAAAGATTGAAGGGGCCAATATAAGTTCTTAAGAGTCCACATGCATAGCTAAAGGCTAAAGCAAAAATGCCAGATAGGAAATACCTTCTCTTGAGTTGTTGGCCAGGCTTGCCAATGAGACTCCCTGATAGTAACCCAGCATAGAATTGGGAAAATGAACAGCAGACCCCAATGTTATCTAAAGCAATATTGACAAGTGATTGCTGCTAGGTGAGGAACAGCTGACCCTGCTAAAACAAAGACCTCTAGATAGGCTGACTAGATTCACCAGAAGGGCAAGTAGTGGGGAATGGCTGGGGGTGCTGACAACACAGCAGACAGTAGTAGGGATATCAGAGTTATTAGGGCTCTAGTGGGGGGGAGGGAGGTTATGGGAGGGTGCCATCTGGGAAGTGGGTGTATAGTTGAACAAGATGGTTTGTGATGTTCTGTGTGATATACACACAGAAAAAAAACAACAAGTTTTAAAAATGTATTATATTTGTGGAAGAAGCATGGAAATTTATGTCATGCTAATTAGTAGAGGTGATAAACATTACCATTGAAATCTACCCGATGACTTTATAGACATACACCGGCACCAAGGATCCAAGTGTAACTGATTATGAGTAGTAATAATCAGATACATACAGATTAGAGATGCATGCACCAACATCTCAGTGTTAGTAGCAAAAACAATGAGTCTTTCTGTAAGGAACAATATATTCTAAAATGAAACGGAGATTTTTTTTTTTTTTTTTTTTTTTTTTTTTTATCTTTTTTGGGACAGGGTCTCCTTGTAGCCCCAGCTGTCCTGGAACTCACCATGTAGACCAGGCTGGCATTGAACTCACAAAGATCTGCTTGCCTCTGCCTCCCAAGTGCTGCTCCCAAGTCCTCCCATGCCCGGTCATGGAGATCTTTCTGAAAGGTTAAAAACTCATTCAATTTAAGTCTTACAGGGCTTATACTGAGTTCAACATTGTATAACTGTATTAATTTAACTGTGAACCTAGAAACTTTCAGCCACTTGTGAAAGAGATGTACTCTTGCTCTGGAGTGTGTTACTGAATATGTTCAAGCTGTAGTGAAATGCTTCTTCTAATCAAGTAGTTACTAAAAATTAAAAAAAAATGATTAAAAAAATAATAATTCTTCAAAGCATAACAATTTACTCCTTAATAATTAGTAGATGTGAGAAACATTACTATTGAAATCTACCTGAGATGCCAAGGAGCTCAGAAAGTAGCTGACTGTGAGTAGTAATAATCAAATATATAGAGATTAGAAATGCATGCGCAAATATCTTAATTTCAATTTCATTAAATATGAATTTTTCTGTATGAAACTGTATTTTAATAATGAAATGGAGATCTTTTTTAAAGGTTAAAACCTCATTTAATGTTATGTCTTATAGGGTTTATTCTGAGTACATTATTGTATAACTGTAATAATTCAACTGTAAACCTAAAACTTTACAACCGATTTTGAAAGAGATGCATCTTAGCTCTGGAAATTGTTATTGAATATGTCAATGCTGTTGTAATGAAATGCTTCTTCTAAGTATGTGGTTATTAAATAAATAATTAAAAAAATAAGACACAAAGTTGATATTTCTGGGAGGAGTTAGGGTGAATATAATCAAAATACATTCTATTAGATTCTCAAAGATTTAAGAAGATATTGTACAAAATATATAAAACAGTTAGATAAAAGCCAGGCAGGGAATACGACAGGAAACATAGGACTCCTGTAAAGCAAAGTTTATTTCTTAGGATTGCTGGTGGCTGGCAGCTCAGCTGGGGAGAGAAAGGGAACCAGCAGCCTGCTGACTGCTGAGGAAGTTCTTATAGGGGGGGTGGGGAATGTGGAAGGTGGCAAAAATAATCTTTATAGTTTCAAGGGAAGTTGCTTGAACTGAGACAGCTCTTACATCAGTGGGTCTGGGTGCATGGATCTGTTTATCTTCCATAATTATCTGGGGAGCAGCTTTGTGCTGAGACAGCTCTAAATGCAGCTGTCTGGCCAGTTCCTATTTTGCCAGGGGGCCCTCATGGCCTGTCTTGTGAGGCTTTTTTACACTCAGAGTGGGTCATCTGCAGACCTGGACTCTAACATTACAGCCTTTTTTGTTATAGGATAGGGGGTGGCATTTTCTCATCATGAGTACTTCCTGCTGGTCAAGGTCCACATGGGGAAGGGAAGGCTGGAGTCAGGGTCCCATCAGGCAGCAGGGGTCTCCAGCTTGTCCATCTGGACAAAGTCCTTGGTGGTCAGCAGACATTTATATACATGTGGTGGAAAGGAAAATAACATTTGGTTAAAGCTGGTATGAGTTAGTTGTTGTATCCAGCCCTGAAAATATCTGAAGAGGCAAGGAGCAATGGTTAGCAGCACAGTAATAGAGAGCAGGGGCCAAGTACGGGCAAAAGCCAGGAAGTCAGTCCTGAAAGTTTTAAGTAAGAAATCCTTGGCCATCTGTTGGAGGCATTTTATGTTTTCAACCTTACTTGATTGGTTAACATAGTAACAGTGTTCCTTGCCCAAGAAAATGCAGGCACCTCCCTTTTCTGCAGTTAATAGATCCAGGGCTCACCTTTTCTGGAGGGCAACTTCGGCTAGGGAGGACAGTTGCTGTTGTGAGATCTGGATTGACTGGGCTGTTGCTTCCACTACTATAGTAAGTTTCTGCTTGAGGTCCTGGATCTCCTGAGGAGGTGTTGGGCTGAGAGCAAGGTATGTCCCAGACTCCCTGCTGTGAATCCCGTGGCGGCTATGGATTATACCAGGCTGCTTCCCATCAGGACTGCTAGAGTAGCTGACCTTTTTGCTCTGTTCCTTTTTTTTTCCCCCTGTGGAGAGAGAATCATGTACCTCTCCTGAGGCATACAGGGTTAATCTAGGTATGGGAGCGACTGGAGTGCAGGTATCCTTGACTGGTGGGAGATACAGGTATATATCTTGGAGCAGCAAAGGAAAAGTAGAACTGGAGCAAGACCAGTATTGCCCTGATTGTAACATTGTGGATGGAGGAGTGGGGGCAGTTAGAGACCTAAGCCTAATGTTTTGGAAGTTCAATCCTTTGAATTCTTAAAGAAATACTGATCACTTTAATTTTTGGTTATACTTTCCTTTTGGGTGTTTAAGACAACACAGTTGGCCCAAATAAACCAATTTATTTTTACTCTTAAGGTCACTTGAGGATCTGTTTCTCAGGGATCACAAGGGCTTGGGAGGAGACCCTGCCTCCTTTCTTTTACCAGTTCCATCTATGTGAAGATAAGTCAAAGGTCTTGCTTGACCATAGCTGGCTTCACTTGGAAGCATAGGGGATATGTTTCCTCTGTGTTGACCCTCTTCTTAGTAGACTGGACACTGTTTCAAGTCCATCTGGTGGGGTCTCCATGGCCTCCCTGAACAAGAGGGCAGGTGACTCATCACAGTTACAGAACATTTTGAGAGATGCTCCATAGTCCCCTGGAACTTAGTTGACCTAGGAGGGCAAGGAACAAAAACTGTCCCTTTAAGTCCCTCTGACCAGATTAGTATAGACCCCAAAGTCTGGCTGTTAAACACCCAAGAAGGTTAGTTACACCAATCTGGTACTTTTAATTATCATGTGTTATGCAGATACAGCTTTGGCAAAACCTGTTTTTAGATAAACTTTTACTAGACATCCTTAAACTGGTTGACTAAACTATGACCTTAGCCTGGGGATACTAAGCAAGGCTTATCCCTGTCTAAGATTTTAGTGTCAAACCAATGTTTGATTAAAGTTTTTCTGGGGAACTAATGAATTAACTGAGCTTACAAAGAGATGACTGAGGAGTTGCTGAGGTGTATGACTGACCTGAGAGTATTTGCATTGGATGTTGACTTTTTTTTTTATAACCTCATGGGTCAAACCCTCTCTTTGCAGCCTTTGCCTTTCCAAGATTATATACTATAGTTCTTTCTAAATGTAGGAGATCATTTGCAATTACAGATGGCTGAGAAGAATGGCTGAATAGTCAGGTGTGGGTCCAATGACCCTGCTTACCCCTCCTTTAATGAAGGAACATAACTGTCAACAGGCCCAATTGTGATTTTTTAGTAAGGAGACACAGCTGAAGTCATGAAGATTTATTTGACTTAGGAGTGATGTGCAGCATCATCTTATAAAAGAACATGGAATCCAAATTATGCACATAAGATAATATAAAGTTAATATTATCCATTTACACATCGTGCTTTATAAGTTTCCAGATAAACCTTATAGAAAACATAAAACCATTAATAATCTTTGTTAATTTATGTAGAGAATGGTTTACCAAAAACATGCTTTGAGTTTTGAAGAAATATAAACACTGGATAGAGAAAAGCAATTTGTACATTAAAACATTATCAAATTGAAGTTCATAACCTCTAGTATAATCAAGGAAAACTGTGTTATAACCCTCTTCAGATTTAAGTAAACTTTTAAAATCTCTTAAAATATTGAAATGTTGGGTTCCTGTGTTTTGGCCAGACAGAATTATTGTCTAGTTTGTATTGTGGCCAGGCAGTGGTTCACAAAAACTTTAGGTGCTTTGATGTAATTATATCTGAAAGTCCTGGTTGCTTTAGGGACTTGAGAAGACAAATCAAGGAAGTGAGAGCCTCAGGCTTAGACTGAGGGGTTCTCATAGTGACAGATTAAATAGATAGCAATAAGAAAATGGATGAGAAATTGAGCAAATAGGTAGAAGGAGATGATGAGGAGTCTCTCATCTGAGAGTTGGAACTGGGGACGCCAGTGAGGATGCCTGGTAGAAAGGTGACAGAAACAAAGAACTGGAGAGCAGGAGGAAGAGGGAGAAGGGGACACATGAACTGTTGGTCGTATCAAACAGGTATGTGCGGAACCAATGCGCAGAAAGGCGTTCCCTTCTGCAGGAGGCCCAAGACGTGGTCCCAGTCTACTGGAGGTAGTGTCCTACAAACCTCAGGTAGGTGTGCTCACCAGAGAGCGGACAGAGCAGGTTCCTGTCCTGGACAGGCAGGATGTGTTCCTTCCCCGGAAACAGCGTCCCATGACCAGAAGCAATGAGTTTTTCAGTACACTGGTGTGTCTTTTGGGCTCAGTTTGAAAAACTCAACCAACAGTGAGTGTGGTACAATCAGGTGGTAGAGGAAGACAGAGTACAAGAAAAGGGATGGGAAGAGAGACACAGAGAGTAAGAAAGAAGGGGAGTGGGAGAGAGAGAGAGAGAGAGAGAGAGAGAGAGAGAGAGAGAGAGAGATTTTGAGAGCAATGGGTGGGGAATGAGGAAAGATAGAGAGAGAGAGAGAGGTACTTCAAATTCATTTATATATTTTAGTACCAAGAACCATGTTGTAGAAATGGATTAAAGAGAGAATGTTTTGACCTAAAAAAAAATTTTTGTGTTAATTTAACATTTTTAGTTTGTATGAAACCTTAGTTAAAAGTCAATATGATACCAAGTAATTTTAAGAAACACAAATTTATGTTGTCTGTGTATATATCTAAGTATATATAAGATAGATTTTAATAATTAAGATGTTATAATTATTATTTTTGAGAATATAGTTTATTATTTTTAAACTAAAACATCTTTGAAGTAGACAAATCAAATGAACACACCTTAAAACATCTTGAAACTAAACTGAAACCAAAAAAGGTATTTAACAAATAGGATTTTATATAACCAATTTAGATGTTTTGTATAGGTAATCAGCATTGGAAAGCTTTGTGAAACATTTAATAAACTTAGAGACACTGTTTAATAGATTTTAAAATAATTAGGGTATCCATTTATAAGGCCTTTGAGTGTATCATCAAAATATTTATAAATTTACACACACATATTTTGATTAGAAATACCAAAAATAAAACCAATAAAACCAGTAATTCTTGTTCACAATAAAACAAAGAGAAAGGAGAAAGAGCTAAAGTGGTCAAATGAAAAACTGTTTTGACACAAACAATACATGAAAACAATTATCACAGACACAGATACCATAATCACATGAAATCTAGGAGCACCAAAGAGTAGAAGACAGAAAGCTTCTATCTCTAGTTCTTTAATATTTAGAAGACTTAGTGGTGCAAAAGAAAAGGTTAAGTTTGTCACATGGATTTGAAGTAGCATTTTTTTTTAAGAGCCAAATAACTATTTAAGAACCCTATTAATACCTCACAAGGAACACATGAACAAAGCAAAGTAACTGGGCAAGGCAGATTTTACTTTTATATAAAAATGTTTAAAGGAATCTGTTCAAAGAGAGAAGAGCTTAGCTGTTCTAGACCATCAGGTTCAGGCTGCATCAGGGCCTTTTCTTGAACAAAAGTCTTACAAGGCATGGTAGGATTAAAAGATTAGAATTTCTTGTCATAAACCAAGTTTTAAGTTTTACAGATTTTTGAAAGAGAAGACTAATATTTAATGTTTTTTTTTTTAACAGAGGGAGATGCCTTTACATATGAAACCCAGCAAAATTATGTTATTAGTATAACTTAAATCAGAGGAGACAGGAATGACAAAAAGGAAACATTAACACTTTAGGTTAAGAATAAACAGAATCCAAATTTTATTGAAAGTAATACCACTTAGAAACAGGTTAAAATAATGTTAAAATTTAAACTCCCATTGTGGCATTACTTCCTTAATCTGATATAGAAATATATTGACCTTATTATAAGACAATAGAAACCATTAAAATCTGTTGTTTTTTATGATCTGATCAAGAATCCAAGATGAAAGCCAAAACAAAAATTACAAGAGGATTAGGACTTATGATTGAACATCTTCAGTTTGTAGCCTTAAATACCCTGAGGGAAGACAGTAAAATAAAGAAGTTTACCTGCCCAATTAAGAGAACCTGTAAAAAATTCTGTGACCAAGAAATAAATGAGTTATTAGGATTTTGGGGTCCTTAGTAGTCATCAAGATGGTATGGGGAGAAAGACTGTCCCCTAAAGGTTTATTTTTTACTTATAGAAGAATTTACTAAAACAGAAGCTTTAGGACAGAGCCATGATGTAATGTAGCTTTAGAGCCTGCATGGAGGTCAGATATGTGATGGGGAGTGGAAAGCTTTAGAGAAAACTAAAGAAGCACAAGATGATGGGCAACCTAAAGCATTAATGAAACCATGTTTAAATAAGGCTATAAAGAAGAAACTTTTTTTCTGAAAAATTTAGAAAAGAAGGTAGACTTACAGAGGTTTAAACATTTGTAGCTGGGTTTATAAGCAGAACAAGATTTATGAGAGGGGGAGAGAGGAGAAGGATCTGGAGCATTTTTCCTGTGTAGGGAATCCATAACTAGTTAGATGGAGGAGAGATAGCCTAGATCAAAGGTTGGAAGCAAAAGAGACCTAAAATTGGATAGAATGATATCAGAAATCATCCTGAACAAAGCGAGGAAGAAAGACACTGGAAGAGGACAAAGACAAGGAGAATGATGGAAGACAACCTTCCAAGACCATGGCAAAGTAAGGGAGAAGGAAGAAGTTCCATTGGGTCCAGTGGGAAGCTCCAGGAGCTCCCAAGCCATCTAAGTCTTAGTGGAGAGAGAGGAAGAAGAGAGGGAGGTGGTGGGAGAGAAAGAGCAGAGATCCAGAGCTCTGTGGGAGAGCACTTACCCAAACTCTGTCAGAGGGTGAGGAATGCAGATGGACTCATAATCTCCAGCCTGATGTGGTGAGTGGTGGGAGCCGGCATAGGCAAGCCAGTTGCGGGAGTGCATGGTCAGCAGCATGGTTCAGTAAGAGGGGACCGGCTTATAAGTAACCCAGTCATTCCTCTTCTCGGGTTTTGGCACCATATGTTAGCTAAAAGCCAGACAGGGAATAGCCACAGAAAACATAGGAGGACTCCAGCAAAGCAAAGTTTATTTCTTAGGATTGTTGGTGGCTGGCAGCTCAGCTGGGGAGAGAAAAGCAACCAGCAGCCTTCTGACTTCTGAGGAAGTTCTTATAGGGGGGTTGGGGAATGTGGAAGGTGGCAAAAATAATCTTTACAGTTTCA